ATGAATGAATGGAAACCCAAAATCTCTGTAAATGTTTATGAAAATTAATAAAATATAATTATAGAAAAAAAAAGATAGACCAGCACCGCCCCACCACCACCCCATCTCGGTGCTCCCCATCATCCATATTACTAAGATTTAATATTCTGCAGGGAGCTCTGGTGGTCTAGTGGGTAAGGATTTGCATTGCCAATTCAAAAGCAGGTACTAGCTGCTCCATGACAGAAAGATGAACAATCTTTTCCTGTGTGATTTGCAGCCTCTGAAAACCCACTGGATGGTCAGCTCTGAGCCAGCTCTGACTCAATAGCACATAACAATGACAACTTAGTACTCTACAGCTGATCTTGAAATCTATCAGTGACTTTCCAGTTTTAGAAGTGGTGACTGATTTCCCACTTGAGCACCTCTCTGGTGACTCAGGACTGCCAATCTGTCTGCAAGCTGGTGGTGGTTGGGATGGGGGTAGTTTGCAGAAGCACAAGGAGATAACCTGATACTTTCTTCTGCTCCACAGGTTCCCAAAGATGTATGTGCAGGACAAGAGAACCATCCTACTTTTGGTGAGAAGTGACGATGCCTTTGGGATAAGCCTAGCATCATCTGCTTCCTCGGGCAGAATTCCCTTCTCTCCCAGAAAGACTCCCACAGGAGGTGTTGGTGCGCCGAGTTACTCTATGAGTTGTAAAAACAGTCCTGGGTCCTACCCGTCAAGCCTCATGAGAGATGATGGTGGTGGCCTTGGCTGTGTTCCTGGTGGTCCAATCTGAGCAAGATGTTTTCAACACTCCTGAGGCTGCTTTTTGTTTGACCAGCAGAAATACATGCTGTGATCTCTGATCAGAACAGGAAACCTCAATTTTGTCTTTCCGGCTCCTCAACAATTTATAATTAGCTCAGGGAGTCACATCCTCAATACCATGTTTACTAGTTCAGGCTCCTTCCTACCGTCCCAGACTCCATCTGGATCAATCAGATGAAGGTAGGAGCTCCAGGAAGCCCTGCTGGGGAAGATCCCAGAAAGGCCACCTTTGTGAATACATTCTGGGGACGTTCTTGGTCCTTCTGGGGTCAGCAGCTCAGAGCCACACACTAATAATTCTAGCCACATAAGGCTGCATATTGGAACCACACAGAGAGCTTGAAAAATCACTCCCCAGGCTGCAGACCCAACCAAATCCATCAGAAGCTCTGGGATGGGTCCAGGCATTGAATATCTGAATAAACATCATAGGTATTCCTAAGTGTAGCTAAGCACGTGAAGCACTGCTGCTCTAGACTACTGGTATACCTAACCATTATCTCACCAGTACATGTTGTTGATGAAGGAAGACAAGAGATACATGGATGCTTTGGAGCAATCATCTCGTACAACTAGAAAATCAAACCTGAGTCAAGTCCAGCCACTGGTAACTCCCATGAGGAATGCCACATTAATATGACAGGTGTCATGGGGCGCCTTCTGGATGTCGTGGATCCTGGGCTCTACAAGTGTCAGGGGCTTCAGGTCTCAAATCGCTTTTTCAGAATACCCTGGAGGGCCTCTGAGTTTTTTTGTTCTGTGGGCCTGAAGAAGGCAGCGCAGCACTTTGATTTTCTAGTGAATACTCAGGAGGTGATGTGAGCATGAGGTCTGCATTTTGAGGACCACTCTCAGGTCAAGCTGCTGTCCTACATCTCCACTAGCTGAGCCATGTCAAAAGCAAAATGAGAGCTAGGGACCCGGTGACAATGATAGGACAGGGAGGACCCAGCTCTTGCCTCAGTGTCCTCCAATACCCACACTGGCCTCCCTGACAGATGGTGATGGAACTCAGCCCAGCTCAAACTAGAGGTGGCTCCTCCAGCTAATTCAACTGGGAATGGCCTCCGAGTGGTCTCCCTGGCCCCTATTAGGGATGGCAAGAATTGCATTGAACTCCATGACATTTAGTCTTCAGCCCAGCTCACATCCTCAGCATTGCCCAGAGCTGGTCAGCTGGGTCCACTGGGGGTTTCCACACCAGGGTAGTGAGAGAAGCTGGCCCTGCTTTGGTTCTTGTGTATAGTCATGGAGTCCTAAGAGGACTGGCACCTGTAAAGGGACACTGTCCACTCCCAAGTGGCCTCCTAGTTATGAATCACACAAAAGTCACAGTCCTGTGCAGTGATCACACCTACCCTCTGCCACGGGCATCTTGATGAAGATCGATTGTAAAAGTGCAGGGTTGCTGGAAGGCTTAATTACAGCAGAGGTAACACTCGCACCTGAGTCTTTGAAGCTCTTTGCAGCCACTCATTAGCCGGTGTCACATACCATTAGCCTCCCTTGCTCCCATCAAACAGATGAGTCACGAGGGACACCTTTTCGCCTGCTGAGGAAAGCCCAGGCCCTGAGGGAGCAAGCAGGGACCTACACTGTCCACCTCCTTAGGAGCTGGCACCTTGGCCTCCAGGGGTAAACATTTCCCAAACACTCACAAATGAGGAGGCCCTCCTGGCTGCTTTTGCTGGCATGCCTGAATTTAACCCCCCACCTTTCCTGGAGAGGTTGTTGCCAGTACACCTGCCTTCGGCTGCACCCTGCACACTCCAGGAAGTCTCCCCAATGACAGAACAAGAGTATAGTGGGGTTAGTGGGCCCCTAACTTGTGAGGAAGGTATCACCCTAGAGACCCCACTCTTCAATTTTTCCTTCCCTGGGGGAAATACAGAAGAGCAGAGGCCTGGGCTAGCCTTAGACATAGCCAAGGGCAGTGACTCAATGGGGCTTGGCCTTGAGAAGGTCGTCAACACCCAGAGTCCACAGCAGGAGATCAGTGTTTGTATACGAATTTTGTATGTTATTGTGGTTATATGCCATCAAGTCTTTTACAACTCACAGCAACCCTATGCATGATAGCTCTGAATCCTGCTCTATTCTGGACCAATTCTCTGTCTCTGACACACCCATTACTCAGGTTACTATGTCAATCCATTTCATCTAGGGTCTTCCTTTTCTGTTCTGTCCCTTCACCTTTCCAAGAATGATGTCCTTCAAGGACTGGCCCATCCTGACAATAAGCCCAAAGTGTATGAGATGGAGCCTCAAAATCATTGCTTCCAAGGAACATCTTGGCTTTGCCTTCTCCAGGACAGCCCTGTTAGTTCTCTTGGCAGTCCATGATATATTCAATACTCTTCTCCAGCCCCACAACTCAAAGGCATCAATTCTTCTTCTGTCCTCTTTGGCCATTGTCCATCTCTCTGATGCAAAACAGGTAATTGCAAAGACCGTGGCCTGCATCAGGCTCATCTTAGTTCTAGACTGACATTGTTGCCCTTCAACACTAAGGAGAGGTCCCTGCTAGCAGATTTTCCTAATGCTATTCATCTTTTGATTTCGTAACTTCTGGTGCCATGATTGTTTATTGTGGAACCAAGCAAGCTGAAATTAACAATCTCAATTTCTTCTCCATCCACCATGATGCTACCAATTGTCCCAGTGGTGAGACTCTTCATTTTCTTGATGTTGAGCTTCAATCCATATTGCAGACTACAGTCCTTGACCCTCTTCAGCAAATGCTTCAGGTCCTCCTCAGTTTCAAGCAAGCAACATTATGTCATCTGCAGAATGTAAGTTGTTGATGAGTCTACCTCCAATCCTGGTGCCATCTCATAAAGTCCAGCCTTCCAAATTATCTGTTCCACAAATAGATTGAAAAGGTATGGAGTCAGGATACATCCCTGATGCATTCTTTTCCTGATTTTGAAACATTCAGTGTTTCCTTGCTCTGTTCTGATGACTACCTCCTGGTCCAAGTATAGGTTTTGCATGGGCTCAATCAGGTGTTCTGGGATCCCCATTCTTCTCAGAGTCAGCCACAGTTTGCTGTGATCCACACAGTCAAATGCTTTTGCATAGTCAGTGAAACACAGACATTCCTCTGGTACTCTCTGTTTTCAGCCAAAATCTGACATTTGCAATGATTTTCCTAGTGCACACCTTCTTCTAAATCTGGCTTGTATTTCTGGTAGTTTTCTGTCAATATGTTGTCGCAATAGGTTTTGGGTGATCTTCAGCAGTATGTGTGGTATTAGTGATATAATTTGATAATTTCCACACTCTGTTGGATCACCTTTCTTTGGAATGGGAATAAATATGGATCTCCTCCAGTCAGGAGGCCAGGTGATTGTCCTCCAGATTTATTTCTTTCTTCTCCCCCTCCAGATTTCTTGGCACAGCCTGATGAACACATGCAGGGCAGCATCTGTTTATTGAAATATGTAAATTTGTATGTCATCAATTCCTGGGCCTTGTTTTTTGCCAACTCCTTCAGAGCAGCTTGACCTTTCTCTTTAATCACCGTTGCCTCTTGCTCATATGTTGTTTCATAAAAATCTTCTGTGTCAGCCATCTCGTTTTGGTACAGTGATTCTGCGTATTTCTTCCATGTTCTTTTGATGCTTCCTGGGTCATTCAATATTCTGATTTCAGCATCCCTAAGTATTGTAACTCAAGGCTTGAGTTTGTTCTTTAGTTTCTTTAGTTTAAGAAATGCCAAGTGAGTTTGTCCCTTTTGATTTTCGGACTTTAGCTTCTTGCACATTTGCTTATAACACTTCACTTTGTCTTCCCAAGCAGCCCTTTGACATCTGTTCAGCTTCTTAACTTCTTTTTTCAATAAGATTATTTTATTTTAAAGTTTCACATGCAAGCAAAATTCTGCTGAAGATTATAAAAAATGACTTGAACAACACATCAACAGAGAAGAATGTTCTCTGAATCTAACTCTGAGAAGAATGAGAATTCTAGAACACTTGATTGTGCTTATGTGAAACATACTTGGACCAGGAGGCAGTCATCAGAACAGTGCAAAGAAATAATGCATGGTTCAAAATTGGGAAGGGTGTGCATCAAGGATGTGTTCTATCTCCATATCTTCTCAATCTATATGCAGAGCAGATTATCCGGGAGGCTGGGCTCTATGAGGAGAAATGTGGCATCAGGATTGGAGGTAGACTCATCAACAATCTGCTTTATGCAGATGACACAACTTTGATTGCTGAAACTGAGGAGGGCTTGAAACGCTTGCTGTGGAAGGTCAGGGACTGCAGCCTTCTATATGGATTGAAGCTCAACATCAAGAAAACAAAGGTTCTCACCACTGGGCCAATTGGCAGCATCATGAGGATGATGATGAGATTGAGATTGTTGACAGCTTCAGTTTGCTTGGCTCTGCAATCAACAATCTTTGTACCAGCAGCCAGGAAATTAAAACACAAATTGCACTGGGAAAGTCTGCTGTCAGAGACCTCTCCAAGGTAACTGAGAAGCAATGATGCCAGTCTGGAGACTAAGGTGTGCCTGATACAAGTCATGGTCTGCAATTACTTGCTATGCATCAGAGCACTGGACAAAGACTAGGGATGACAGAAGCAGAGTTGATGTCTTTGAGCTTTGGTCCTGGAGAAGAGTATTGAATATTCTATGGACTGCTAAAAGAACAAACAAGTTCATCCTGGAGAGGGTGAAGCCTGCCTCCTCCTTGGAGACAAGGATTCTGAATCTCCTGACATACTTTGGACATGTTGCAAGGCGGGATCAGTCTTTGGAGAGCAACGCCATGCTTAGGAGGGTGGAAGAACAGCGAAGGAGAGGAAGACCCTTGATGAGTGGACAGATTCAGTCACTGGGGTAATGGGCATATGTGCGTCGGAGACAATAAGATTGGCAAGGGATAGAGCAGGGTTTAGGGCTGTTGTACATAGGATTTCTATGAGTCACAAGTGACTCAATGGCACATAACAACAACAACAACAAGATTTTTAGATTTTCATTCATTCATTACTGCATGTTTTACCCCCTCTCCCTCCCTTCATCCCCCTAGTTCACTTTAAAAAAAAAATCATTCATTGTTGCACCATTACCTCTTTCCCCCACCTCTCCCCAGTCCTCTTTGTAATGTACCTCTTATTCCGCACTGTTATTTTACGTATAATGCCTAATCATAGATTCCTTTTAAGCAATTCTTTCCTTCTTGATTTCTTCCCCTTGTTTTGGCTTCTCGGCACTCTAGTACAATATTTAGAATCTCTTTTGACATCCATCTCAGTTTTCCTCCTTTGTCTTTGCATTCTTCATGGATAATATTCTTGATACCCTCCTTGTAGTTCATCTGGCCTTTAGTCAGTCAGGCCTCAAACCTGTTTCCAAGATGTTTTTTTTTTAAATTCAGATGGGATAAAATAAGATAAAATTCAAGATAAAATTTTGGTTCATGTAGATTTAATTTTCTTCAGTTTCAGTGTGAATTGCATATGAGCAGTTAATGTTCTGTTCCACAATCAGCACCTGGTCTAGTTTTCACAGCTGGTATTGAGTTTCTCCAATGATTCTTTCCACAAATGTAATCAGTTTGATTTCTGTGCAGACCATCGGGTGATATAAGCCAAAATAAAGTTTTTAAAAAGGCATAGAAAATGTCAAGTACAGTGAGTGAAAATTGTAATTATAGTTAGCATGTGCTAAAGCAAAGTGCTCTGTGGGCAAAACACTGTGCAAAGTTCTGTATGTAAATAGAATCTCCTAGATAAAGAAATAAAAACTCAGAGAATCCTCAGCTGCCTTCATAAAAAAGCACCTCTCCTCCCATACCGTGCAGAACCTAAGGATTAATTGATTATGACCCTGGCTTTGTGCAGCTGGAGAGCGGTGTGGACACACACCTGGACAGCGACTTCTTCCTCAGCCACCGGCCCTCAGCCTGTTCCAGCACCTATGTCAACCTGCGCGAGGTCTCCGGCTGGGCCTGGCTGCCCCCGGGAGAGTACTTGGTGATGCCCTTTACCTTAGAGCCCTTCCAGGACGGCGAGTTCTGCTTGCGGGTGTTCTCAAAGAAGAAGGCTGTGGCCCTGTGAGTGTCCCTGGCCCTCTGCTGTGAGGATGTTGTCTGAGAGCCTGGGGCTGGCTGAGGGCGTCGCCCATCTAAAGCTGCCCACTGAGACTGCTCTCAGGAGACAACAGCCCAGGCCCCTAAGATTCCTTACCAGGTGTGACCTCCTGTCCACCCATTATTGCTTATAGAACACTGCCCACCCTCATGGTTAGAGGGTCTTTCACCCAGAAGGGAGCTTGTGTGGTCCTGAGGAGAAGATCTAAATGGTAATACAACTTGTCTCTTCTTTGCCACACATACACCGACCCACACGTATGCCTATGTGTAGCGTATGCATGTACATATACAAGGACCCACACACATGAACATTTGCTTGCTAGCTCGATCCAACAGGGATTTATATAGCTGGGTTTCCAGACAGTGTGTGCTGGGCAGGGAAAGAATGGCAACTGCGGCAAGCTAGGGAGAAAATTACCAAGAGTGATCCTCCAGAGTGAACGTTCTGGAATCCATGGAGGAAATGAAATGAGCAGGTCTAGTTTCCGATGAGTCTCTGAGTGGGGCAAATGGTTAGCACACTTGGCTGCTAATTGAAAAGTTGGGAGTTGAAGAATTGATGCCTTTGTGCTGTGGTGTTGAAGAAGAGCGCTGACTATAACATGGACTGCCAAAAGAACAAACAGATAAGTTCTGGAGTGAGTGAAGCCAGAGTGCTCCTTGGAGGCAAGTATGGGGAGGCTTCGTCTTTCATACTTCTGACATGTAACCAGGCAAGGCTATTCACTGGAGAGGGACATCATGCTTGGAAAAATAGAGAAGCAAAGGAGAGGAAGACCTCCAATGAGATGGATTGACATGGTGACTTTAGCAATGGTCTAGAGTGTGTCAGAGATGATGAGGGTGGCACAGGACAGCAGGGCAGGGTTCAGGTTGACTGTTCATGGGGTGGCTATGAGTCACACTCTACTTGATGGAACCTAACAACAACAACAACAGAGGTACCTTGGAAGAAAGACATGACAATGTCATGAAAACTCAGCTGCTGAAAATCCTGTAGGGCCTACGTAGGTAGGGTCAACACGAGTTAGCATCAAGTTGGCGACTGTTGGAAACTTGGGGTGAAGGTTGAGGAGGTAAAGGTAGGGATACAGGTTGACAGTTTATGCCTTTTGGTGCTAGGTGTTGTTGAGTACCATTGAGTTGGAACTGACTCACAGCAGACCCTCCAGCAGGTTTTAAAGGCAGATCACATGGGAGGAGACTACTCCTCTTTCTCCTATGGAACAGTAGGTGGGTTTCAATTGCAGGCCTTTGAGTTGCCAGTACAAAACTCCTTACCACTATGTCACCAGAACTACTGAAAAATCTCAAATGGCAAGTCCTTGGAAGGGTGAACATTTATTTCCCCAAAGAACATTTAATTAGTTCATTTTTATTTTGTGTTTCAGGGAGACTGGAGATGTCGTAGCAGGTGAGCCACAAGAGGTATGTGATCTTTGAGGCCACCGTGTTCATGTTGTTAACCAGCAGACATTTCAGATTCTTGTTGATCCGTAAGGGCTCTTGATATATTAAAGATAGTAACTTTTATTTGCCAGGTCACAGCATTTTCTCAGTCCTGACTTTATCCAGAGGTGGTGAGATCAAAGCAGCACTGTGTCCTGAGCTTTGTAATGCATCACACTCCCTGAGGAGTCCTGGCTGCCCCACTGGACCACAGGACACATAATGTGTGCAGTGTGGAAAAAGGCAGAGGGAGATAAAGATCCAGTTCTTTGCCCTTAAATACACTGCCCATCTTGAAGGAGACAAATTCAGGAAGCCTATGAAAAAGTTGAAGGAAAATTACGATAGAAATGAAGTCTAAACATAGGTGGTTTGAATGTGTGTGGTCCTGAGGGGTGGGGGTAGGAGGGCGGGAGTGTGGCCTAGTCGGAAAATGCTGCGTGAAAGGGGAGGGTTGAGACAAGCCCTTGGAGAGGGACGTGGGCACAGGTCCTCTGCCTCACTTGCCTTTTTCTCTCCACCTCACTTTGCAGACCTTTCTTTGCCCATTGTGGCTTAGAGAACTGATCCCAGGAGGCCTCCGCTGTGCCTATGCTGGGGGCACTGGGCCCAGGAGTGTGGCAGGGCTATCCTTGTGGGGCCAGCTTCTGCTTCTCCATGGTGTTCACCTAAACAGATGGAGCTGTTCCTGGCAGGAGCCACAGGCCGCTGAGTCTCTTTGGCTGAAGTGGGGGAAATATATTCTATTAGGCGTGTCAAATTTGTTAGCTCACGTTTCTGCAGGTGCACGAAAATGATCAAACCGAGACCCATCTATCTTGTTGGTTTCTGCTGTGGTCTTGCTAGGTAGAGAGTGCATGCTCCCATCGTCTGTCCTTCAGTCCTGTTAGAGCTCGCCCTGGCAGATTTGGCAGCGCCCTGGGATTTGGTGCTCCATTGGTACATGGGGGTGGGGTGGGCTGGTGGTCCTTGCACAGTGAGTCGGCTGTGGTAAGGGGACACCTGAGCCCTTTCTGTGCTGTTAGCTCTTGGACTGAGTTCCTTAGCAGCCCCCAAAGCCCCCTAGGTGTGGATGTCAGTTGAGCTCCCCACTGCCCAGGAGGATGTACGTCTTTTACTCTTAAGTTCCAGGTGTGTGAAAAAGGCCAGTTTGCCTGTGAGGACATCAATATGAATTCTAGGCTACAACTCTAAGGAGAAAAATTATCTCACCATTTCACGGTGTTGTGTTCTTTCACCCCCTTGGTTTCCACTCTCTCAATTTAAAATGGAGGTGAGGTCCCTTCGCGTCAGACTGATGGGAGTTCAATGGCAGTCATTATTGGGGTTCCCTGTCTCTGTTTCCTGTGGTGAGAGTTGGATGGCAGCCATTATTGGGGCTCCCTGTCTCTGCCTGTTTCCTAGGATATAAAACAGTGAGGTGACAAGAAGACCTTCTGGTCTTGGGTCTGCCCTAGTCTCAGTTTCTGCCCAGCTCACAGGTCCTGTCACGTTGGCTGGCAATGGGGCATCTGTTCTAGGCCTGGGGCCTGGAATTGTTGGTGAACTGAGAGCCCCTCAGCCCAGAACCCTGTCTTCCTTCCAGGGTCCTGAGGCACAGTCATGTGACCCTGCAATACTACACGTTGCCCTGCCATTATTTAAGATCCAGTGGATTTCCATCTCTTCCTGATCTCAGCGTCTTCTGAAGCATACATGCACACACACTCAGACACCTCACATAATGTCTTTAGGGGACTTGAAGCAGAAAGAGCCAGGGCCTCCAAGCACTTCTGTTTTCCTTCCTTCAGAAACATTCCAGCCATGGCCAATCAGACATCTGAAAGTCTTAACTACCTGCTTGGAATTGAGAAGGGGGAAAAATACAGAGTGGGCTGGCACATTCTTGAACCTTTGTTGTGTTCACTTTGAGTAGGCTTGTAAAGATGCCAGCAGCATCTGATAGAATAACAATACAGTAATGTCTTAATTTTGCCATACCACCTTACTGTTTACAAAGCATTTCACATATGTTTCCCCAGAACAATAGACAACTCCACTGAAAGAAATGTCTTGAGAAGAGGAACTTCTCTTGTTCTCTACTGCATTTCAGGCACAGATCACACAGTTCCCATGGTGGGCCACGTGTTGAGAATAAGTTTTTGTTCTGTACTGAATGATTAAATGAACAAACTGTGAAGTATATAGTAAACATCTTTCTGGAACTGCATCTTCCTTGTTTCCCAGGATCCAAAAATTATGTTGTCTCCTATGGCACCCCTCTCGTTGTGGAGTATAGTATATACACCAGAATTTGTTGAGTGCATATTTTGGACATGTTGCTTGCTGGGAGAGTCTAGTCCTTGGAAAGGGACAAAATGGAAAATGGAGGGCCAGCCAAGACTCCTAACAAGACGGTTGACACAGTGACTGCAGCAAAATAGGCTCAAGTGTCACAGATGATGAGGATGGCACAGGATAGGATAGGGTGTAGATCTGTTGTTCACAGGGTCGCTGTGATACTCCACTCAACAGTACCTAACAATTGTTTCTGACTTCCTGAGGCTCTATGTGACGAGTATGTGACACTATTATCTCACAGAAGCAGACTGGCAAGTCTTTCTTTTCTGCCTTTCCCAGCAGTCTGTGGAGTCCTCAGAGTTCAGGGGTGGTGGGATCATGTCCCCACATTCCTGAGAGGAGGCTCTACTGTGTCTGCCCACCCCCAGCTGTAGACTATGGAGAGACAGGACAGCACATGAGCCTCCTGATGTTGTCCACGTGTCCCACTCAGCACGGCTCTTGATGTGCTTGCTGTAGGTATTAATAAATGAGTCAAGTTGAGATCTTAGTCTTTCAACCTCCTTTATGATCCTCTTCCTAACTTTCCCATTGCCTGCGTTTCAGCCACATCCCAGTGAGATGGAGCAAGAAGATGGTCAGTTCAAGAGCCTGTTTGAGAGACTAGCAGGGCAGGTGCGTGGCGGGTACACACTGCTCCCTGGATGAGGGGTGGGGGTTGGGGGTGTCAGGCAATGTCGGTCCTTCTCATCTGTGTCTGTGAAGGAGAGGAAGGAGCCAGGGCCCTGTGTCCATGACTCCATCCTGGCTGTAGCCTTGGGCTTTTCGGCACAACTGAGCCCTAATCCATTCTGGGCCCTTCTTGCCTCGTTGACTGCTGAGAGGTCAGGAAAGCTGAGTGTGCAGGTCTTGCCACAGGCCTTTCTGCATGTAAATTGGTCCTGTTGGCTCAGGCCTCTGAGTAAATACCTAGGGCAGCAAACACCTCGCAGATCAGTGCCTTCAAAGTGGGCAGACCACTGTGTGAACAATTAGGTGGCATGAAGGGCTGAAGCCCAACTTCCCCCCCCCCCCCCCGGAGAGACCCGTGGCGCTTGCCACATTGCATCCAAGCTTGTCTGGAAACCCTAGCAAGACCAGGGCATTGCTCCAGCCAGGGAGAGCCAGGCCGGCTCTGCCATTTGTAGCAATAATGTCACATATGAAAAGATGAGATTATATTCCCTCCGACTGCACAGTAGTTAGAAAGTACTCAACTGCTAAAGGTCAGCGGTTCAAACCCAGCCTCCCCTTTCCAGGAGAAATGCGAGTAGTCTGCGACTGTGAAGATTTACAGCCCCAGAATCCCCAAGGGGCAGTGCTAGTGTGTCCCGGCACATCACATTGAGGTGGAATTGACTCAGTGGCACTGGATTTGATTTGGGCACAAATGTGGAGTTAGTGGCTATAAAACTCACAGCTGCCTTAACTCTAAAATAGCTGTAGCACAGTTTTGAAGATTTAAGGGTTGTCTGCATAGGGTGGGTGGTATGTACATGCTGCCGCTACTCTTGTTGAGCTCCCTAAGACAGAACTGGCCCACAGCTGACCCTCCAGTAAGTTTTCAGAGACAGAACATTGTACCAGTGGAGACTGCTCACCTTTCTCCCACAGAGCAGCTGGTGGATTTGAACTGTGTGCCTTTGGGCTGGCCACTAGGCCACCAGAGCACCCACATAAGTGCTTGTTCCCCTTATCACCACTTGCCACATCTTGTTCTCTGTTTAAACAAGTGCCCTGCAGGGATTCAGGCCCTGGTGGGGCCCAAGCCATCACCACACACCACCAGCCCAGGTTTATCGGGTTGCAGAGGAAAGGGACATTGGACACTGAGGCCTTAGTGTCTGACTATAGACAAGGCACTATGCTGATATGCTGTCCTGGAATGGTTGTCAAAACTTCATGTGACTTACCCTTCTTCCTAGGATTCTGAGATCAGTGCCAGCAATCTCAAGGAGATTCTGAACAGGGTCTTTCTTCAATGTAAGTCCCCCCTGGAAGCCTTTCCAAAAGTCCCTGTGGACTTGAGAGGTGCTGGGGTCAGGGTGAAGGAACCTCACCATAGGGAAGAGCCCTTGGCTTAGAGGGGGCCTCTTCTATCCAGTAGGAGCATATATTGGAGGCGGAGGTCTGGGGAGGGATGACAGGCCCAGGTACCAGAATCAAAGACTGTATATGAACGAGCCCCATACTGTTGAACAAACCTGCTGCTGGGTCCTGGGAGGAGAAAGCAGAGCTCAGACAATGTAGGAGATTTGTTCTTTTCATAGAAGGAATAACTTTAATACTGTGGAAAAGGATCTCATTTTGCTGTGCTTTTTTGAAGAATGGAGTGTGGACAGCTCTGTCTGGTTGGTTCTGACTCTGCCCTTGGTTATGCTGCTACTGAAGGTTTTCTGTTGTTTAGGTTTTTGGCTTTGTTTTGTTTTTCGTTTGTTGGGTTGTTTTTTTTTTTACTTTAGGATGATCACATTTATTCTTTCTTTTATTTTTTATAAAAATTTATTTTTATTTATACATTGTTGTATATTTCCCCCTCTCTCAAGTTCAATGATTTATCCATTGCAAATACCTTTTTAAAAAAAATTTTATACTAGTTTACTTACAAAGTTCATATATATTGTTTTTCACACTGGATCTTTCCTCTTTCATTTACCCACTTCTCCCTCTGTCCATCAAATTGTGCCACCCTATGACTGTAATGAAGCCCCCCTGTCCCCACCTATCCTCACTCCTCTGTTCCCCCTCCCCTCCTTGGACCCTCATACTCGTTCTACAATAATGGTCTTATACAGTGTTTGTCTTTCCAGTCCCTCCCAAATTAGGTAGTAATTTACAAAATCATTGCTCCTACATGTTGCATAGTATTTCATTGTGTTAATACACCATAATTTCTCAGTCTATTCCATTGTGGTTTGATATCTGGGCTGTTTCCATGTTCTTGCCATGGTGAATAATGCTGCAATGAACATGGGTGTACAAGTCTCTATTTGTGCCTCAGTGCTCATTTTCTCAGGGTATATTTCAAGCAGTGCAATAGCTGGGTCATAGGGAATGTCTATGTTCAGCTTTCTGAGGAAATGCCAAACTGCCTTCCAGAGACGTTGTACCATTTTACATTCCCACCAACAATGTATAAGAGTTCCTATCTTGCCATGTCCTCTCCAAAATTTATTAATTGCTGCCTTCATAGCCTTTGCCACTGCTACTGGAGTGAGGTGGTATCTCACTGTGGTTTTGATTTGCATCTCTCTTGTTACCAGTGATTTTGGGCATTTCTTCTTGTGTTTGTTGGCCACCTGAATGTCCTCCTCTTGACAAAAGAAATTTTCCTCATGGAAAAGTCTTTCCACGTCTCTTGGCAATTTTGTACTTGGAATACCAGTGTTTTTCTTTTGGAGACCCAGGAGTATTCATTCTTAACTTTTATGAGACTCTTGTCTGAGATGATCTTGTCAAATGTTTTTTCCTAGTCAGTAGGTTTTCTTTTCACCTTTTTGGAAAAAGTTTTTATGAGTACAGAGATTTAATCTTTAGAAGGTCCCATTCATCAATTTTTACCCTCTGAAGATTTTTATTCAGACTTGCCCAGTCATGAGGCTGCCAGGGAGCTAGCTACACGGCACCCAGGAGGGCAGGCTTGATTTTCCCGCTCTGAGGCCCAACTGCACTAACACTACCTTATAGCTGGCTTACCTTCTGGTCCAGGGTGAGCCCCACAGTGGGGTATGGTGTGAGAATGCAGGAAACAGGTCTCAGTGGGCCTCCAACTGGAAACCCTCTTCCTAGGGCTCAGGACAGGTACTAGCTCAGGACCGTCCTGCCCACCCTTTTCTCCTGCTCCTGCCTTTCAGGACTGCCCTTCCCACCCTCTGCTCCTTCCTGCCTTTTGCCAGATAAGGAACTGCGAGGGTTGCAGGGAATGGAGGAGAGGGCTGCAGGGTTCTTGTCCCCAGGTGTGAGGAGAGTGAAGGTGGAGGTTGAGGGTGGTCAGAGCTCCAGGGAGATGCTGGGCCATTATGCAAGTACTGATAAATACCTGCCACTTAGGATGCTGTCTCTCTGTGGCAACTGGCACATGGGTATGATGTCTAAGAAGCAGGACTGCTGATAGTGAACAGGTTTTAGTGGAACTTCTAAACTAAGACAGACTAAGAAGAAAGCACTGATGATCTACTCCCCAAATCTGTTGTTAGGTGCCACCAAGTATGACTCATAGTGACCCTATGAACAACAGATCTGAATCTTGTCCTATCCTGTGCCATCCTCATCATCTGAGACAACTTGAACCCATTGCTGCAGTCACCATGTCAGTCCATTTGATTGAGGGTCTTCCTATCTTGTTGACCCTCTGCCTTTCCAAGCATGATGTCCCTTTCCAATAAATAGCCTCTCCTAATAACATACCACAACTTATGTGAGATGAAACTTCTCCATCCTTGCTTCCCAGGAACACCATGTCTGAACTTTTTCTGATGTATCTGTTTGTTCTTACTTGGATCAACAAGAAATACCCTTGGTACTAGCCATCAGGCAATCAGGAGATGATGTATTGCACTGGGCAAGTCCACTGTCAGGGACCCATCCAATTTACTAAGGAGCAATGATGTCAGTTTGAAGACTAAGGTGCCCACAATTCAGGTCATGGTCTTTTCAGTCACTTGCTATGCGTCTAAGAGCTGGACAGTGAATAAAGATGACAAAGGAAGAATGGATTCCTTTGAGTTGTGGTATTGGAGAAGTATATTGAATATGCCATAAACTGCCCAAAGCCAAGCAGCTATGTCTTGGAAAAAATACCAGAGTGCTCCTTGGATCAGATGGATCACAAGAGAACATTGTCAGCTATAGTGCTGCAAAATAATCCCTAGGCTAGATGACACCTAAATCACATAGTGGCCATGACTATGGATTGGAGCATGGCTGCAGGACTGGGCAGTGCTTCATTCTGTTCTCCATGGGGTCTGCATGCAATGGCAACTAACAACATGGTGTGAATAGAATCACAAGCTGTGGCACCAGAAGCGTGCATTTAAATTGTGTCTCTGCCCTTTATTGATGGTATGAGGTTTATTGAATCTGTGTTCCAGTTTTCTTATCAATAAAATAGGATGTTGTTGTGATGTACTGTCAGGTCAGAACCAACCCATAGCTGACCCTCCAGCAAGTTTTTAGAGGAAGTTAATTGCATGGGAGGAGAATGTCCATCCTTCTCCTGCAGCAAAGCAAGTGGATTCAAATGGCATGCCTTTAGGATTGCAGAACAGCTTCTTACCACTAGGCCACCAGAGCTCCATAAATATAGTTACTTCTTTTATCCTGGGGGTTACTTGCAAGAGTAGATATGCAGTGCTCATAATAATTCTTAGCTAATAAAAATCTAGCTTTTTCATTAAGAATTTATCATATACTAAATACTGTGCTAAAAATTATATCTTTATTATCTTATTTAACCCCAAACTTGCCTCTGGGACAACTATTACTATTCCCACTTGCTGGAGGAGGAAACTAAAGGTCACAGAAATTAATTTGCCAAAATCCCACTAGAAGCAGAGCCAAGTGTCCAACATTGCCCCAGTGCACTAGGCCTAACTATCCTGCCCTACCTCTGGGTGAGTGCGGGCTCAGGGTGTCTGCCGATTGACCCACCACCGGGTCATACCCTGGTGTGAGCCCAGTTGGCTTAGTCCCCTGCGGGGATATCTGATGCTCTCCTTCTGTGGAGATGATGTGTCTTGATCCTAATTCCCATTTCTTTGTCTATTTAAATCTTTAGGGACAGACATAAAGTTTGATGGATTTGATATCAACACCTGCAGGAACATGATCAGCCTGCTGGATGTATCCTTTCAATGAACTTTGCTCCCCTTTTAAAGGATTCCTTAACATTTTTCAATGAGAGGAAAGAGAAGGGAAGAAGCATTTCCTGAGCATATGTGAGAGAGCATGCAGAAAGCTTTGAAGTAATTATGTGTGTGCACACACACACACACACACACACACACACATACTGCACTCTTTTGTCTTGTGTTGTCGTCTATGGGAAGTTGGTTACCTTTCTCTAGAGGTTTGAATTCTTTGTTCTTCATTCTGTGCCCAGTCAATCAGCAGACGCCCCGAGCCCATACTCACCCAGAGGTAGGGCAGAATAGTTAGGCCTAGTGCACTGGGGTCACTTTCAACTTGGGTAGCTTGCTAAGGCCTTAGGCACTATGCAGGTTTGAGAGAAGAAGATATCTTTAATTGTGCAGAATATTGGCTCCTCAGTGTTGATCTTTAACACATCTAGAATAACGAGACGGGCACCTTGGGACTGGTGGAGTTTAAAATGCTCTGGTTGAAGATTCGGAAGTATCTGGTAACTCCTCTCTGTTGGGCATCTTCTGGGCTCCAATTCTATTCCATCCTATTTTTAGGTCCCCACTTCTTACTGACAAATTATTTGGCCAGATCCTTGTTCTTATGTTATTATTTTGTGCTGTTGAGTAGACTACAGCTCATAGTGACTCTACGAACATGGCTCTGAACCTGTCTTATCCTGTACCATCATCATCTCCAACAGACTTGAGCTCATTGTTACAGTCACTATGTCAATCAAGCTTGTTGATGGTCTTCTTCTCGTCTCCTTTCCAAGCATTATGATTTTTCCAAGGACTGATCCCTCCTTGAGACATGCTCAATGTATGTGAGATGAAGTGTCACCATCCTTGCCTCAAAGGAGCATCCTGGTTCCACTTTCTCTAGGATAGACATATTCTCTTTGCAGTGTGGGGGATATTCAACACTCTCTCCAACACCACAACTCAATCCTATTGTTCAGAATAGACTAAAAGGCAGTGAGGAAGATGCCCCTGCCTCTCCTTGCATTGGAAGACTGCCCATTCCAAGGGCAGGATGAGCAACACCTACCAGCCATCTGCCCACATTCTTGTCTTTGCTCTGACTGCTTTGTAAGACAACTCAATGGAGGCTCTCCTTGATGGTGTCCTTGGGTTTCCAAGAGAGCCATGTGGTGAGGGGAGGTAGTTCTGGTGGACACCTAGATGTCTCTTTCCTACCTGGAATTTCTCCTCTGCTTAAGGAGATTTATCAGGAAACTGATGAAAACCACTGCGGGACCATTGATGCCCATGAGATGAGGACTGCTCTTAAGAAGGCAGGTGAGAAAAACAAAAACAAAACAAGAAGGCAGGTGAAGACGCACCCTCCAGACCAAGCCTTGGGAGCCATATGGACACACTTTAAATAGTTCTTGTTGTGATGATGGCCGTAGTGTCCACTGCTGTTGCAGCAGTTGAAGCATTTGGCTGTTAACCACAAGGCCAGTGGTTTGAATCAATCAGCATCTCTGCAGGAGATAGATTTATGTCCTAGGAAGCCCTGGTGGCAGTTCCACTCTGTTCTGTGGGGTCATTGTGAATTGAAATCAACTTCTGGGCAGGAGTTTCAGTGATTATCAGTGATAGTTAACCTGCATGGAGGCCAACGTGACATAGATAGTTTGCTAAATGTGTTACAAAGGGAAAAGCCAGGTTGCCAGACTCAGTGTAACAGAACTCTTTTGACTGTTCTAAGAGTCCTCTTGTTATCAAAAAAGGTGGTAGCAATTAGAGGTGGGGTTATGGACTGACCAGCAAAGTGGTCCATCACTATTTCTGCTTCTTCTCTGCTGGAACTTCCATGACCCAGTGTTAAAGTCACTGCCATCAAGTTGACTCCAGCTCATAATGACTGTCTACAAATTTCTGAGGCTGACAATCCTAATGTGAGGAGAAGACTACCCATCTTTCTCCATGGAGCTGCCTGTGGGTTCAAGCTGCTTGGGCCACACTGCCTTCTGATAGCGTGCACGCTGTGGACTGTGTGCTACCACCACGCCTCAGTGCTACACTCACAACTCAGACCCGCTGCTGACCCTAAGACTCAGGTCTGACCCTCCTGAGACCATATGTCAAAAGGAAGGAGATTGTCCACCTTCTGTTGTGGAGCTGCTGATGGATTCTGATCACTAGAGGGAGCTGCCACTCTGACTTAGCAACACCTCTGCCAGGAAGCCCCCAGAGTTCCTGTTGTTACCCTCACTCCTCACTGGTGAGTCAGAACCACCTCAGGGCTGACTCTCCGGCGGGCTTCTGAGGGGAAGAGGCAACGGTCTCCCTTTCTTTCTGGGAGAAGTTAGTGGATCCAGACCTCCAGAAAAGTACAGCCTTTGGGTTACAGACAACTCCGCACGGATGAGGTCTCTTGTACTTGTTACAGAGTCCTTGGGTGGCAAAGAAGACTAAGCACTCACTAACTGCAAGGTTGGAAGTTCAAGTAACCCAGAGGTGGCTTGAGATAAAGGCCCAGTGATCTATGTCCAAAAGGTCAAAGCCTCCAACCCAGTGGGCACAGCTCAGTTCCAAGTGAGCTCTGTGAGTCAGAAGTGATGCCAGCTGCAGCTAGTTTTGGTACTTGTTACATCATAAGGCAGATCAGTTGTGAGGCTCATTAAGACTGACCCTGGCAGTCCAGGATCAGCCAGGGAACAGGCTGATCTTATTGATGTTATCGCTGTTGTTACATATCATTGAGTCAGAACTGACCTGTAGCTGACCCTCCAGCAGGTTTTCAGAGGCACTTAATCACATAAGAGTTGATTGTCCATCTTTCTCCTGCAGAGCAGTTGATAGATTCGAACCACCTCTCTTGAGTTGGCAGTGCAGTTCCTTACCACTATGCCACCAGAGGTGAGAGACCGACTGGATGACCAGATACCTTCTGGAGCGCCCTAGATGAGGCAGATCAGGACTTGCATTTCTGTCAGGGATGTTGTGGAGTGACACCCTTGCCTCTCTTCCTGACCTGGTCCCTCTGCCTGCAGGCTTCACCCTCAGCAGCCAGGTGCAGCAGACCATTGCCATGTGGTACGTGAACAGCAAGCTCAGCATCAACTTTGACAGCTTTATCGCTTGTATGATCTGCCTGGAGGTGCTCTTCAGTGAGTCTTCCCCTCCCCACTCCTCCATGACCCCTTTCTTGCTGATGCAGGGGATGCTCAAGGGGCGATTGAGGAGGCCCAGTGTTAAACCATGGCCTTTTGGTATCCAGGGGTCAAAGACAAGTCAAGGCCTGGGCCATCCTGGGACACTGGGCAGGGGACACTGATGGGGCCGATTAAGTCTGGGCTGGTCAGACCTAGGTGGGAGGTGAAGAGAGACTTGAACAGCTACCATCCAGTCCAGTCGCTGTGCACTTGGTTTGTGCAGACACTGGGGTGGGTGAAGGAGCCTGTTCTTGTCCTTGAACCACTTTCAGCTTCTCTTCACGTTTGTGCCTCTAGAGGACATATAGTGACAACAAATGCAGCTTCCTGGGGGGGGGGTAGCGGAGGGAGGATGGTGGCTGAGGGGGGTCCTTTGGAAGAAAATGGGTGGTGTTCTCCTGCCACCTTTGGTTAAGGGATCTTATCAAGGGTGGGACACTCTGATGCTCTAAGGTGGGGAGTCTAAAGGGAAACAGTTCGGCTTTTAGAGAGAAGCCAAGGGACAAGCTTACATATCAAAGGACACTCCCAGCCCAGTTTCCTCTACTTGCTAGCCCACTGCCCTAGAGAATGACACATTTCTGACACAGAGCATCTCGGGTGGAGATGGTGATAATGGGGTATCTATTCATTTGGATAGGGGGCATCTCTGCTGAAAAAACTTTTCCCTGCGCCTGGGTCTGGATTGAGCATTTTGAGGCCCATGGGCCTAGGTGGGAGCTGCAGATGATCAGACTGTTGTGGAGGCAGAGTGAGAGTGTGGTGCAGAGCACGGGAGAGGGTACCAGGCAGGACTGGTGGGCAGAGAGCCTTGTGACTGTTCCAAAGTCTGGGAAAATCGCCATCTAACTTCTTCGGTATTTTAGAGAAATTCAAGCATCTAGACAAGGATCAGAATGGCGCCATTCAGCTTTCCTTGGCTGAGGTAAGTGACCTGGGGCTGATGATCCTTGGAATTCTTGGACTGTCTGATCTGGGTGGTATTTATCCCTACTGACCTGTCTTAGTTTTATGGATTAAATATTCTGTGCAAGAACTGTGGGGAAGAATGTCCTTCAAGCATTATGGTCCAGTGTTAGGGAGTTGTTCCAATCTACCAGCTGCTTCATGGGAGAAAGGATGGACAATATCTTCCAGAGTTATTTACAACCTCTGAAACATGGAAAGTAGACACAATTTAAAAAGGCTGACTTCTAGGGTCATGTTGGTTTTTTTTTTTTTTTTTTAAGATTGGCCCATGGAAGGACATTAGAGACAAAATATTAGCTTGTAATAAGGTAAAGATGTATAAAATAAGTTATTGGCTTTCACTGGGTACAAAGCCATTCAAGGTTGTTTATAGGAGAAGGCTGTGTCCCTAAAAAGAGAAGCCAGAGAGGAAGGCTACAGGTGCGGAAAAGTTCTGGGGAAGGAGAGAAAGTACAGACACTTGATGGGCACTCAAAGCTTGGAAGTAAAAGACCAGTTATTCCTGGTCCTGACAAGTTGCCTGAATCTGATTTTATTCCTCTCTGAAATGCAAGGCTACTCTCCCCTTTCTAGAAGTGTATCTGTGAATTTCTACAGACACCCAGACAATGGTGTTGAATGTAAAATTTAACACATGCATATGTATGTGCATACCCCCCCCCACACACCCTTATGTATGCTTTTAAGAATCAGACATATTTCCTATAGTAATATCTATGTGTATGTAGGCATATTTTCTCTATATGTAGAAAAAAAGTTGATTTAGACTCATAGTAACTGCCATGGGATTTTTTAAGGTTGTAGGTTGTTATAGGAGGACACAACCCATTTCTCTCTTGTGGAGTGGCTGGTAGATTTGAACTGTTGGACTTTTGGTTAAAAACACAACACAGCACAGTGTAGCACTGTTGTTATTTGATTTTTAAAATTTCCTATTGGGTAGGGAGCCTCAGTGGCCTAGTGGCAAGAAGCTGCACTGCAATTGAGTAGTCTGCTCCCACATGATTAACTGCCTCTGAAGACCCACTGAAGGGTCAGCTATGGGTCGATTCCAACTCTACAGTACACAACTTTGCTTACAAAGTATATATACATTGTGTTGCATACAATTGTTCCCATTATGTTTTATAAAATTAACCACCCTTGAACAATGCCCACCATTACGGTGTCTTTCCAGATTCCCTCCTGATCTGTTGTTATTGTGTGCTGTTGGGTTGGATCAGAACTGACTCATAGGTGACCCTCAAGTGGGTTTTCACAGAATGTCCATCTTTCTTCTGTGGAGTAGCTGGTGGTTTTGAACTGTAGCCTTTGGATTGGCAGCTCAGCTCCTTATCACTGCCTTCCAGTGTACCACGGGGACTCTGCTGTGAACTTCAGGAGGTTATGTGCTGCTGGGGAGTGTTCAGCCCTTACCCAGCTGCCTTTCTTTCAGTGGCTGGTCTGATGCAGTTTATTGAACGTCGGTGCCTCTCTTTGCTCCTGTTCTCCCCTGCTGTCTGATTTTGTGGACCATGTACCCAGGAGTGGCATGAATTGGTTAGGCATCTTTTCTTGCTATTACTGGTCTGGTGGTCCTCATGGGTCTCAACAGAGCAACCTGAAGAAAGCCGCCTCTTCTCTGCAGAACGAGCTCCCTGAGCTGACCCCAGGCCTGCGGGGAAAGGGAATCAATAAAAGTTGTCCACCCAAATGGTTCTGCATTTCTCTGGTGATGTGCAGTCTGGAAACAGCCTGGGCCATTTCATACTTGAAGAAAGAAGATGTTTTTGGGAAATGACAGACCCTGAGCTGCTGACAGTTATAAATGTAGGTTAATTTCTGGGAAATAAACCTGAATAAAACGGAACTGCCTCCCTGGGTCCACCCAGTGTGCCAGGTACAGTGTCACCCTGGGCTGTGGGGGGCAGGACTCACTCCTCCCACAAGATAGATGTGTTGCTCGATGGCACGAGTTGGCATCTTCAGTGTCAGGTAAATTCTTGCTAAGGGAATTCTTACTTGACAAAAAGCTGGAAGGGAAATACAATTCACATTAGTTTGGTTTACACTGAACACAGGAATCTTTGTTGTTAAGAAAATAGACAGCACTGCCTTACATCAAAATGGGTAAATAGGAATTGAACTGATGCTTAGATGCAGCCAGTGCAAATATAGAGGAGGCTGAGCTGGGGGAGGGGACATGCACACATGTACACAAATGCATACAGACACACATACACACATACGCATACATGGCCATAGAAATACACCCATACACATACACATATGCACATATATACACATACATCCAGACACACACCCATACATGTACACATCCACATATATGCACACAGACACACTCACACAATCCATGTAAGCACACACATGTTGTTGTGTTGTTATGTGCCATCGAGTCGCTTGCGACTCATAGCGACCCTATGTACAACAGCCCTAAACCCTGCTCTGTCCTGTGCCAATCTCACTGCCTCTGAAACACCTACCCCAATAACCCCAGTCACTGAATCAATCTATCTCATAGATGGTCTTGCCCTCTTGTGCCGTCCCTCCAACCTCCCAAGCATGATGCCCCTCTCCAAGGACCTGTCCCTCCTTACAACATGACCAAAGTATGTCAGACGAAGCCCCAGAATCCTTGCCTCCAAGGAGCAGCCTGGTTTAAACCTCTCCAGGATGAATCTGTTTTCTTGGCAATCCATGGTACATTCAATACTCTTCTCCAGCACCACAGCTCAAAGGCATCAATTCTTCTATCCTTCCTAGTCATTGTCCAACTCTCTGATGCATAACAAGTGATTGCAAAGACCATGGCCTGTATCAGATGCACCTTAGTCTTCAGAGTGACACCATTGCTCTGCAGTACTTTGGAGACATCCCTAACAGCAGACTTTCCCATAGCAATAGTTTTTTTTTTTTTTTTAAATTTCCTGGCTACTGGTGCCAAGAGTGTTGACCATGGAGCCAAGCAGACTAAAGCTCCTAACAATCTCAGTCTCTTCACCATCCATCCTGATGCTGCCAATTGGCTCAGTGGTGAGAATCTTTGTCTTCTTGACATTGAGCCTCAATTCATATTGGAGGCTGCAGTCCTTGACCCTCTGCAGCAAGTGCTTCAGGTCCTCCTCAGTTTCAGCGAGCAGGGTTGTGTCATCTGCATAACGCAGATTGTTAATAGATCTTCCACCAATCCTGCCACCACACTTCTCCTCATAGATCCCAGCCTCTCAGATAATCTGTTCTGCATACAGGTTGAAAAGGTATGGAGATAGAACACATCCCTGGTGTACATCTTTCCCAGTTTTGAACCATGCAGTGTTTCCCTGCTCTGTTCTGATGACTGACTCTTGGTCCAAGTATCAGTTTCGCATTAGCACGATCGCACGATCAAGTGTTCTGGGATTCCCATTCTTCTCCGAGTCAGCCACAGTTTGTTATGATCCACACAGTCAAACGCCTTTGCATAATCCATGAAACACAGAGTGCACACATACATATACCTAAATACAAACATTCAAACACATATACACACTCACTCACACACACACACACACACACACACACACACACACACACACACACACACACACACA